AAGATAATTGCAAAAGCTGATGTGGCACAATTGAAAGTGTAAATGGATTGCAGGATGTGGATGGTCTAATCGTCGTTCCTGGCTCTCTCGATTTCTCCAAGCAACGCTCTGTTCTTCTCGGTCGGCTGTAGAAATCGCCAGCAACTCTCTGTTCTATCATTCTCTTCTTCTTCATCAGTCACCACTATCGCCTTCTTCTCAGTCACCAATCGATTCACAGGTAAGACCTCTCAATTTCATAACTTCGCTCCCTACGTTGTAGCTTATCGGTCTCAACCGTTCTTCTGAATCATAAACCCTAGACAACACCAAAAGATAAGAAAAATAGAATCTGAACAATTTGCTATTTTCCCCTTTTGTATCACTGTAATATTTTTCTTATTTGATATCACAATGGTCAGTTTAGTGGTTTGGGCTTCTAAGTAAGAGCAGATGCTGGTGATGTGTTAGGAATACATGGAACATATGAGATGGCTTGTCAAAAAGATTAGTGATGTCTTGTTTTAATATAGGGATGAACTGCATATGGCTTGAAGTACCATAGTCTGCATGCCACTCATGGTGATAACACATCAAATGTTTTCTCAAAAATCATGTGTGAACATAACTGACCTGCGAAGGGTCAAGTTGCAAATGAATATCTGAAGTACCATGCTTTTATGGATACAGAACTTGCTCTGAACCAACTCATAAAGGCATGTGCAATGCATTCATGGGAGGTAGAGTATATGTCAAATTGTTTACCAAGTATCACCTCTTCCAAATTGATAGTGGATAGACTTGTGGACTTTTAACTATGCTCGCATGGTAAAGTCTAAATCCTAGGTTATTGCTCATAGACATAGTCATATAAGTATCACTGCTTTATGTATTTCAGATACTAGGTTGTGGTTGTATGCTTCAAACAGCAGAAACTCACTTGATCATCTCAATTCGTTGCCATCGTATTAATTATTTTTTATTTTTCATTTAGAAATTTCCTTCAGAACTGTTGTCAAACGTTAATTTTCATTAAACACAAGACTGGGGGTAAAATGGTAATTTTATGTCATTCAGAACAGTTTCCAAACAACCTTTTTCTATCTGACACTAAATCATACAGAATCTCTTAATCATCCTGACCACTTAATCATTCTGCACTAAACCATTCAACAACTGCCAAACAGCCCCTAAATATAAGTAAAATGTCTAACTTGGTGGTTTAAGATCGTCAATTCCAAAATCTAGTTTTATGGGCCGCTTACCTAAACACAGCACTTAACGGTAAAATTCAACTCTATTGCATACTTATTGGGTAAGATTTTAGTTTACCAAAACGACATCGTATGTAACAATTTACCCGGTAAGCACTAACGATGGTAAGAGTCGTCGCCATCACTTACCGGACAAGACTCTCGGTCCGTGCCTTTTCTCTTACCAGGTAAGATTCTTGGTTTTTGCCATATTAATCCGGTAAAGAAATGTGACTTGGTAAGCGCTTACCCGAATAAGCATTTAGTAAACGACTCCTTAGTAATTGCACACAATATTTTATTATAGTCAACAAAGTATTTTTAAGTAGTTACATAAAATAAATGTCTAAAAACTAGAATTTTTCCAATTAAAACGACCAAGCCCTGGGTACTAGTTATATCAACTATGATTGTTTTACATTGAAACCGATCAAGGACCAGTCGTAAAAGAAAGCCCGCGATTTTTCCTAGACCCTGGTCGGGCTTTGGGTTGAAATATGATCCGATCGCGCTTTTACGACTGGTCCTTGATTACTAGGCCCAGACAGCCAGACTTTAGGTTTGGGTTTTTTTTTTATTTACCTTCCGCTGATGATCATAGGACCGGTACAGTATGGGTTCCCCAAGGATCGCGTGATACTCTTCTTGCAAAAGATTCCATAGAACATTTAGCATAAATGACATACTTTCCTCTGATTTGGCTAGTGAACCAGTATAACGGACTTTCATAAAGTATCGTAAACTAGCATGACGTAACAGAGTTGGTTCACAGTGACGAATATATTGGAACACCTGCTAAGGTGTATCCCGAATCTACAACGAATATGTTACCAGTCACGTAATCGGATGAGCCATGAATTAGGTACTTAACTAACGATGTCAAGGCTGGGTCAGTGGTGCCCAATTCTCTCAACGGCATCGTTTTTGAAACCACGTTTTTTAGCCATTTCTTTTGCAGGAGATCCACCGTGATCTCGGACTTGAAAATCCCAGGACATATCGAGTTCACCCTTATTCTGTGTCGACCAAGTTCCATTGCCATTACCTGTACGGATTATCAGGCAGGTCAATTAACGAATAAAGTCAAAGGCCACATGCCCACATCATGTATATCGATCATCACAACAAATTTAAAGATATGATATTATTAGAAACCGAAACAAAGTGCACTACAATTTTTATGCAATTGCCCAAAATATGCATTTACATCGGATTTGTTTGCATTACCTTTGTCATGGTATTAAGGGCCGATTTTGAAGAAGCATATGCAAGAGCTCCAGGTAGATGACCACGATTAAGACCAGCAGTAGATGAGATATTGATTATGGATCCTCCTTGATTAAAAGCAAGCATTTGTAGGCCAACATACTTCGTTACCAACCACGATCCTGTTACATTTGTTCTAAACGTTCTCTCCCAATCTTCTTCCGACAAATTCAACGTATATCTCACGGGACCTAAAAGCAAAATTGCAGCAACTTCAATTGAAGAATGATGCGAGTTGCCCAGATGTTTAACCAGGTAGGCATGCTTTATGTAAGAAAGGGGGAGTAAAACTCGGCCTCTGTCCACTAAACACTTAGCGCCTCTTACCGGGTAACTAAACACTTGTTTGCCATTTACCGGGTCAGAGATGATGGTTTGTACCAAGTTACCAACAATCTTGCTGTGCCATTTTGCAAATCGAGAATCTTACCCGGTACAGATAGAAAGCATACAAACAGATGTAATACATTCTGCACATGGTACAGATAGAAAGCATACATTCTTTTTTTTTATTAACCTGGATATCCAACCTACTATACGAGCCGACTAATTCCAGGGTGACCACCTGCTTTGCAGATAGCCCGGAGTCACCGCATTTGAACCTCCGTGACCACAAGGAGATTTTTATTCTTTTTCGGATTTGAACCTGGGACCTCCAGGTACTTTTGACCTTTGAAGCCAAGCTCAAACCAGACACCACCCTTGTGGTTGAAAGCATACATTTTGGTTTCAAGATCAAATGGTCCCCATTTTTATCCTCAAATTGATAAATTCCTAAAAGTAATTGAGAAATGCAAAGGCAACTTTATATCAATTTCGAGTGCGAAGAATGAACTATTTCTTTATATATATATCCATATGTTTGATGCCTAATTTCATCAGCAGTCCCAAAATTACCATCAAATCAGACCATTAGCATTGAGTACTACCAGTTACTCTGTGCAAATCAAAAAACTACAGAAGACATGAACAATATAATCGCAAGTTACCTCTAATACCAGCGTTGTTGATCAAAGCATCGATACGGCCAAAAGATTTCCAAGCTTTTAGCACAGAGGCTTCGATGGAAGGACCATGGGCGCTGACGTCAAGCTCCACCGCCACTGCTTGGACGTCGTTGTTCTCGTTCCTCACCTGATCATCGGAGATATCCAAATTGTTAATTTTGTCGCACAGAGCCTTGAGCCGGTCGGTTCGACGGGCGGCGGCAATGATTTTGCAACCGGCTTTGGCCAAGTCGATGCAGAATTCCCAGCCGATGCCGGATGATGCGCCGGTAACCATCACGATCGTGCCTCTCAGGTCTCGCCATGGTTCCAACTCACAGCTTGCCACCGGTTGAGTCGAAACCCGCATCAATTTTGGGTGATCGGTCATCGATTTTCAATGAACAAACCAATTCAAAAGATCAGTGTTTTGCCGAAAGGGATTTCATCCACCATTAAAGAGTGAAATTACACTAATTATCCCTCAACTATTAAAACGACAACTTTGGTCCTTCAAACGACAACTAGTAAAATATGTGAACAAAAATCAAAGTTGCTTTTGTATCAGGTTCAGAATAATCTGTGTACATACATCATAAGAGTTCAAGTTTTTATATCTAAAGTTGTGTAAGATTCTTGTCCATAAAAACGGAACAATCTTACCTGATAAGCACTTATCGCTCAGAGTCATTACCATCACTTACAAGGTGGGCCTCTTGTTCAATGTGTTGCTTCTTACCGGGTAAAATCCACAACCCTAACATGCTAATTTGGTAAGGTAAGTGACCCGATAAATACTCACCCAGTAAGCATTTCATGAATGGCCCCTTAAACGTAAACAATGTTAGAGGTTTCGATATCATTTAAGTCTAAATGTATACTTGTTCCCAACATTTTAAACATAAACTATGTCTAGCATTGAACTACATTTTCTACTTTCCCTTGTGATAAAGGCCTTGCTTCATTTGAATTTATGTAACTAACTGCAGATAAATATAATCAAATACAAGTAATTTAGTACGTTTTCTCATCAAATTGGTGGCCTTGTGGCCTCCTTTTTGGCTTAAAACCTATGCACAATGATTCTACAACCATTCATTACTATTAAACATCATAAAACATAATTTTGGTTCTCGGTTCATGCTTTTGCACTCATAAAAGTCTTCTTATAACACTCGAACACTTTCTTGCTTCAAATCACACTTGATTCTCACATTTTCCTCTTATTTTCTTTCAAATTACCCTCCTCCTGGAGCCACTTTCTCATTCAAACATCTCCTCTCAACTTTCAAATTGTGTCTTTGGTCTTCATATAATGAACATTACACCCGCTAGACAATCAACTTTCATACTTTCACATTTTATGTCCTCCATTTGCACCTTTCTTCCCATTTGAGTCAAGTACTCAAGTTTTGGGTGTTACAATTTACGTGTTATGCTACCTTATGAGTTTACGTTCATGTTAGTATAGTTTCTTGTATTTTGAAATTTTGGCATCTTCATGTCGCGTCTAATTGATGTAAAATGATAATAAGAAAAAATTGGTTATCAATTTGTATTGGTATACCAATTGAAGCTGAGGGTGTTTTCAAATATACATCTCTTTTAAAAATTTGGTTGTTGTATAAATTTTGCAGTTATTTTTTCGAATATTAAGAAAAGTACGAATACCTGCAAACTCCTCCACCGACAACAACAACTGCCATCACCACAAGCACGTCTCCTCTTCTTGATGGTATGATTGCAACGAGTCATGTATCAATTTATGTTCACCGAGACACCAAAGACAAATTGTGTTTTGTAAATGAACAATTAAATTTTTTTGATAGAAAAACTATATGTTTAGAATTGATTTTTGCATTATGAACCACTGAAAGCACGAAACCTTTTGTTGAAACCATGCTAATTGACTAAGAAGCCATTGACCAAATACTTACCCGGTAAGCGCTTACCAGGTCACATACTTTAATGAATGAACATAACAAGTACCGAGAATCTTACACGGTAAGAGCAATACAAGGACCGAGAGTCATACCTTGTAAGTTAGGATGATAACTCTTACCAGGTTAGCGCTTATTGGGGAAATGTTGCATACAATGCCGTTCTGATAGACTAAATTTTACCCTGTGAGACAAGTAATATTGTTGAATCTTACCGGTAAGAGAGCTTACTGGGTTGTTTGAGTAAACAACCCCTAAATCTTAAGAAGTTGTTTGTTTACCTCTTAACAGTTCCATTAAGAGGTCACATCTGAATCATTAAAAGGTGAATCTTGTTTGGTAAAAAAAAAATCTACCTCTTAATGGTTCTAAAACCCTCTGAATGATTTTGTATCATGGGTTTCCCTTAACCATTAAGCACATTAATTTCATCGTAAACAATCACCAAACAATTATATTTCATTTTACACTATATCATAAAAGTTTTTTAATCATTCTGATCACTTAATTATTTTACACCAAACCATTCATCAACTTTAAAACATCCCCTAAGAATAACTTTTATCAGTTGTTAAATATCAATAAAAGGGCTTTTTGGTAATTAACGGTTGTTAGAGATATCATCAGTCGTTTGTGATTTGGTTGCCTTTCACTACTAGGGTTTCTCTTTAGCCCTTTGCATTTCCAGCCAACCTAGGGTTTCTGCAACTATTACGTTTTCAATCTACAATTGAGATCTTTACAGCTCTCAACTGATCATCGAACGTAAATGGCAGCCATGACAGCTACAGCATCACGCTCATCCAAGACGGAGAGCTATGTCGACAACAAGCGGAAGGACGATATCCGTATGGCCAACATCAAATCCGCACGTTCGGTGGCGGACGCCGTCCGTACCAGTCTCGGTCCGAAAGGAATGGACAAGATGATTTCGACAGCCTCCGGAGAAGTTATCATCACCAATGACGGTGCCACCATTCTCAATAAGATGGAAGTGCTTCAGCCCGCCGCTAAGATGCTTGTCGAGCTTTCCAAGTCACAAGACGTTGTCGCCGGGGATGGAACTACTACCGTCGTCGTCATTGCTGGCGCACTTTTGAAACAATGTCAAACCCTGCTCCATGCCGGTATTCATCCAACTGTTGTATCGGATTCTCTCCACAAAGCCTCTGTGAAAGCGATCGATATTCTTACAGCTATGGCAGTTCCTGTTGAGCTCTCTGATCGCGAATCTCTCGTTAAATCAGCCTCCACTTCCCTTAACAGCAAGGTAGTTTCACAGTACTCTACGCTATTAGCCCCTTTAGCTGTTGATTCTGTTTTATCTGTTGTGGATCCTGCAAAACCCGATTTAGTTGATCTTAGGGATGTAAAAATTGTGAAGAAACTTGGGGGAACGGTTGATGACACAGAGCTTGTCAAGGGTCTAGTGTTTGATAAGAAGGTTAGTCACGCAGCCGGTGGGCCTACTCGTATCGAGAATGCCAAAATTGCTGTCATTCAGTTCCAGATATCCCCTCCCAAAACTGATATCGAACAGTCCATTGTAGTATCAGATTATACACAAATGGATCGAATTTTGAAAGAAGAGAGGACTTACATTTTGGGCATGATTAAAAAGATTAAGGCTACTGGTTGTAACGTTTTGTTGATACAGAAAAGCATTCTGAGGGATGCAGTCACAGACTTGTCCCTTCATTATCTTGCCAAGGCCAAAATTTTAGTGATTAAGGATGTGGAACGTGATGATATCGAGTTTATTACCAAGACATTAAATTGCTTACCAATCGCAAATATTGAGCATTTCCGTGCTGAAAAACTTGGGTATGCAGATATGGTAGAGGAGGTTTCTCTTGGAGATGGGAAGATTGTTAGGGTTACTGGAATTAAGGATATGGGTAGGACAACAACTGTCTTGGTTCGTGGGTCAAATCTGCTGGTTCTTGATGAGGCAGAAAGGAGTTTGCATGATGCTTTATGTGTGGTTAGGTGCTTAGTGAACAAAAAGTTTTTGATTGCAGGTGGTGGTGCCCCAGAGATTGAGCTCTCGAGGCAGCTAGGTGCATGGTCTAAGGTTTTGCAGGGGATGGAGAGTTTTTGTGTAAGATCTTTTGCGGAGGCTCTTGAAGTTATTCCTTACACTTTGGCTGAGAATGCAGGTTTGAATCCAATTGCGATAGTGACAGAGCTTCGAAACAGGCATGCTCAGGGTGAAATCAATGCTGGAATTAATGTGAGGAAGGGGCAAATTACAAACATTTTGGAGGAGAATGTGGTGCAACCACTGCTTGTGAGCACAAGTGCTATCACTCTAGCTACAGAGTGTGTCCGAATGATTTTGAAGATCGATGACATCGTTACAGTGAGGTAGAATTCATACAAACTAATCAAATGTTTGGAGACTCGGGATACATTTACCATGGTATGGTTTCAATTTTAGTTTGTTTTGGATGTGTTTTATGAAAATCTATGTTTTTCTAGCTGATCCCCTTTTATGTAAGTGTTGACTTGGTAATTTGCTCATTTTGTATGACTCTTTGTTGGCCTGAGGAGCCAATCGATATCTATGAGCTCTTTTGGGTTCTTATGCTGTCTTACTATGAGTTTCTTGAGGCCAGATTTATCTAGGATTTCTCATCATATGTATTAGAAACCTTATGGATTAAAAATTCTGCTGTATTTCACATAATCTTTTATGATTCTTTTTTTGTTTATATTTAGCATATGAAAATATCTAAGCAATGATACTCCCTCCGTCCAAAAATAAGTGTCCACTTCAGAAGATAGATAACTAAATTTCTGAATCTACCCTTAATTAATGCACAAATATTTAATAGTTGATAACATAGATACATTAATTAAGGGTAAAGTTATTATTTGGTTAATTATAAACTGTAATACTTACTCATTTCTAAAATTGTGTGTCATTTCTGTTGTTGACACTTATTTTGGAATGGAGATTGGAGGGAGTATCTATGTCGATTTATATGTGTGTAAGAAGGCACTTCTCAGTTTAGCTTGGCCCCAGTGAGTCAAGAGAGAGTTGTAATCTAGAAATGATGTTATTTTCTTATTGAACTGTAACAAATATGATCAGATGTGATTTAGAAACTCTGGTTCCTATGTATCTCTCTGTTTTTCTTGTGCAATGGGAAAATTTATGGGGCTGTGTTTATTTAATTCATTGTAAAGTCGGTAGATTATTCATATGGTATATGCTATCATTTGGAGTAAGGGGTACAGATGTAAGAACCAAAAGACTTAGGCTGAGGTTGAACTACTTGATCAGAAGCACTGATAAGGTACTGAACAAGTGTAATATGAGTCAGGAGTATATATAAAAGTAACCTGTAAACACTCATATATGGTTTTAATTATTGTGATATATTGATATAAAGGCTTTGTGGAGTTGGGATGAGATCTTCTGCCTTTTTTATAATGCAGATTAATCCAGTTAATTCTGCTTGAGTAAGTAATTTAATTTTATATGGTGGTGATGCAAGAAGTAAAAGAAATAGAACAAAGCTGTAAGAATGTATGATTATTTGTGATATGACTCTAGGCTGGTAGCAACTTATGGCATTTAACACTAAAAGAAAACTGGTATTCACCATTCAAATTAGAGCTGAACGACAATCCGATGTAATTCTAGGCTGGGATCAGGTCACTGAACTGAAGGATTTAGATTCACTTGCAGTTACAAGATACGAAGGTAAAAACACCATTAGGAGTTTAATTCTGTCCAAAAAAGTTCAGTATAATGACCTGATATTGGTATTTTTACTGTATTGATCTTGATTACCTTTCATAGTTAAAAGAAAACATTATAATGGTTATTGAGGATAAGCATGTTAACAGGAACTGCTCAATTATCAATATTTATTAACACATTCTGAAGGTAGTGGTCAGGTCTCTGTACATCTCACTCCACCCTGACCCCTCCTCTAATAAGATACTTGACTCATTTGGTTTGATGTTCAATTGCATAGAGACTAGAGTGCTACTTGATACAACTTTGACTTCATAGTTTACGCCAAAATCTTAGAAGCTCAAAGGTCTTTCCTTGAAGTGTATATATATTTATATACGGCAAATTAAACTCACGGGCACTTCTCCCCGTAGATGAGGTTTGATTCGTTTGAATCCTTGATCTTCAGGTCTGTGGCGTTACCGGGCATCATTGGCCAAAGGCACTTTGGTAAGCTCAAAGGTTTTTAGGACAAGTATTTGATGCATCCACTCGTGTAGTCGAGAAACTTTAGACGCTTAAGAGCATGATATTCAAATTAGCTATTTGTTCTGGTTTCGGTTCTGGTTGTTAAATGATTATAGTTGGTACCTGGTCGCATACCTCCTTTTTCATATGATTTGGATCCTTTTTTTCCTTTTGCGTGTTGCAATGAGGGTACAAGTGATGTATATTGCTTTCGGTAAGGCAAAGGCTTGCCAATGTGTCTAATGTAAATACCAAGCCAAATGAACCGTGTGGGAATTCCCACATGGAGGTGGGTATAGGGAGTGTAAGATTAGATGTGCTAAAAAAACAGTTTGAATTGCTCAAACCAGTCAAACCAAACCGTTTTTTGTGGTTTGAGCGGTCTGACGGTCCGGTTCACTCTGAAAAATAGGAATATTAGTGAAGCAACAAAATCGGGTAGTCTTTTCCAATTTGGGTTTAGATGTTTTGTTTTTAGGGGATTGGACCGAGTTGACTGCTAATATATATATAGGGTCGGGTTCTAGCAAAAAAAATAGTTAAGATGAGAAGCTTAAGAAGGGATCTTTCACCCTTGTATGCATGCACATTAGGATTTGATGTACCAAGATGTCATAGATCAATCCTCGTATCAAGTACAATTCATGGGTGGGTTTGAGGGTAAAGATGATCAAACATCCAATAGTGTGTGTGTGTATATATATATATATATATATATATATAGAGAGAGAGAGAGAGAGAGAGAGTCGGATTCATATGAAAATGCTACATAGAATGGACGAATCACATGTTATTTTTACATTAACATAATGTACAAAATCACATTCGATTCACACGACCTTGCCATGCAACCTTACCACCTCATAGGGTCGTCTGTACACTTTTTGGCCGTTAATGCAAAATCACATGTGATTTTGTACATAATCATTTTCTTATTTTCTTAAACATGTACCGTTATCGTATGAACCTACCCCCTCTCTCTCTCTATATATATATATGTGTGTGTATATATTATTTAGTTATCGCATTTTAAAGAAATTTCTATCTATAATAGGCGTGATCAGTTATTTTTTTTACGAAATTTCTATCTAAAGTGGATCTTTGATGGTGAGATTTGGGCCGCTTATTTCAAGTGTTTGAATTGTTGGTGTTAGACTTGTTTATGGGCTTATTTTAACAAAAATAACCTGCTTAATATTTGTTATAATTATGGAGATATATAGTTTGTGGTATAATATTTTTTTAATAATGTTATATTATTAGAAGTTTAATTTTAAAGATATATATTATGTTTTTTTAGTTTAAGTCAATAATAGGTCCAAATGCCTAAACCAATCAGAACATACCGTCTTTTTGTGGTTCTATTTGATCGGTTTGGTCACTTGATTTCAAATCGTAGGTTTGGAAAATTCATAAACCGCCATTGTGGCTTGGTTTGTGGTTTGATGGATAACCGTACAAGTCGGACCACAAACACCCCTAGGTAAGATGTACACAAACTTAACATCTATCGAAAGAGTAAAGCAGATGTTTATCTCTCGTGAATCAGGTTGGAGAAAGTAGACCTCTTGGCTTGTGTCCTTGCATGAAACCAAGAAAGTTGATTACCCGACCTGATGTTAAACAGTTACAGTTGTAGAAATGCTTCCTTTGAAAGGTATTGTTTATGATAGTTGAGTCCATAAATTCACCCAACCCCTTGTTAGCCTTAAGGAACTTTCAGCTCTTTTCTATGCTGTCAAAATCGTGATATATCGCCGATATATCGGCGATATATCGGATATCGCTCGGAAAAAAAATATCGGAACTCATATATCGGACAAAATATCGGGAACGATATTATCGGCGATATTTTCCGATATTTAGCGATATTTGGCGATATTTTAAGGTAAAAATCGGGCCGATATACCGATTTTATAGTTCTTACAACATCGAGTCTTCGACTTCTTCTTCTTCTCACAACGTTTCTCTTTTCTCGGCCTCTCTTCTCGATCTCCTCTGCTTTTCTCTGTAATCGACACAACATAGCCAGCGTCTGATGGCAACGGGGCGGGGATGGAAGAAGGTCGATTGCTGGTCTGCTGCTCACTCTACCGGCCGTCGCTTACAAGGGTCAAGGGGGGAAGGAAGGCGATGGCGGTCGATGGTAAGTGGTAGGCGGTACGGTAGCTATCGCTTAGAAATACAAGTGCTCCAGGCCAGTCCAAATTTCAAAAAGCCCAAGCCCAAATGACTAATTAGACTATTAGAGTTAGACTAACAGTTTGCCCAAATGACTAATTTTATTATTTATTAGATGATGTAATATTTTAATTTTGAAACTATATTTCTAAACTCTAATTAATGCATATTATATATAATTCTAAGATATATTATGTTAACCGTTATTTTGGACCGATATATCAACGATATATCACCGATATAACCGATATATCGAATATCGGTCCTGACCGATATTTCGTATTATGACCGATATAACAGCACTGGCTCTTTTTGGTAGATGTTAAGTCTGCATATATCTTGCTCCTTTATACCCACCTATAAATGAGATATGCTAGGTTAGTTTGGTTTTTTCTTTATACATAATTATCATCTTTGATTGATTTGCACACATCAGATGTTCTCAACACTACCATATGCTTTATTTTGTAGGATTCGAATCTATTGTAATATGGTTTGTGTGTGTGTATAAAAAGAGAGAGAATGATTCAAACGACAACACTTTCAATTTATGAGAATGTGAGAACAACTTTTTACTATAGTCAATCACATTTTATACTTTATTTTTGGCTCGTCCTAGGTTATGGGCCAAGTCGCTCGTACTCCACTACTCCCCCTCACGTGTATTATCACATGTGATAAATGTGTTCTTGATGTGATACTATAATTTATCACATATGATATTAAATCGAAGATGCAAACAATCTTTGGCGTGACCTAGGTAGCAGGACACGTCGTTCACACACCACCAAGTCCTCTCACGTGTATTATCACATCTGATAAGAATGTTCTTGTGTTTTCATAAAATGAAGGTATTCTTGTTTATATATATATATATATATATATATATATATATATATATATATATATATAATATTATATAGGGAGATGTTCAAATGACATCAAATATATGACAAATAGAGAAGTTGATTCTAGCCACCAAGATTAAATGATTAAATTTTATTAAATGAAGGGAAGGGTAATATGGTACTCGATTTTATGATTAATTTCTATCTGTTCAGATTCCTGTAACTTTTTCGATTTTCCGCGATACTCGCATCGAAAAAATGAGACTTTTTTCTCCAAACGTGTCGGGAACACTTTGGTTCAAGTTTTCGAAGCCATTTACAGTCATGGAAGGCACTGGTT